CGCTCCTCGTGGAACTCGTCTCTAGAAGGGGGGGTAATGTCACGGCCATAATCATGTAAGCTAATAATTACATATAGAAATAGGTAGAAGTAAGTAAAAGTAGATAAAAGTAAGTTAATTATATAATATTTAATATAGAAGCTTCCTAGAAACTTCCTAGACGCTGCTTTGACTTCATAGGTGTCTTTAATTGACTTTTTGGATTAAGAAACGTGGTCAACAAGTTGGCCATATGCCACACATGTTGTTAGCTTGAAGATCAAGCTAACGATGTGGCCCACACGTAGAAAAACTTGCCTTGTAAGTCAAGGCATGTGTCCTACAAAGTCAACACATATTGGAGGTCCTATAGAACGTCGCCACGTAGCCCCTAGTTAGATAGTATATATAGAGACAAGAGTGAAGGCTTCTTCACTCTTGTCAACTCCTTTCTTGCTTCTAGTCCAGGTTCAAGAGTCTTTAGTTTCTTGTCTTGTGGCAATAGCCATTCCAGTTTCCTTTTAATATACCTACTTGTTTATATTTTGACTTATTATATCGAGATAGCTTTTTGGTGTATATTTTTCCTCATCGAGTCTTTGTCCTTGACACTAACTTGTAAAGGAAGTACTCAACATATGTAACATATGGCCAACATGTCGGCCAAATTTTTAACCTATCAATCACCTACAAAATCTTAAAAAGTCAAATTTGTATCTATGAAGCTTAAAAAAATCTTCTTCACAAGATATTATCAAATTTACCTACTTCTACTTAAATCCTCTTATCTAAGTAAATATTAGTATTAATATGTATATCCTTGACAAAATCACAACTTAGATTTGTAAATACTAAGGCCAAATACTTTTAAATTTGGACAACATTTAGACATTATATATATTACAATGGTGGTTTAGTATGGATTTTAGAATTGTGGTTTATTTTCTATGCTAATTGTAATTATTGTAAAATTTTATTTTATATCAAAAAATATTTCATTTTTAAGGAATAGCCATTATATTTCTTTTTTAAATTTAAAAATTATTGCTTAAAGACTAAATTTAATGACATACCTCCTATGCAATCAATAATTATCACAAATTTTTCTAAGTATTTTATCACTCATTTAATAATTTTTACATGAACTTCTAAAATTCAAAAAGATCTAAAAAGCAAAAAATATATAAGAAAATATAATAAAATAAATATGATTTTTTTTTTAAATTACCTACTAAAAATTCTTTGCTTGGAATTTTATTGAATAGAACAATTGTTATTTTGATGTCTTTATCCACTTGTCTGCTGGCATAAGCCTACTTTTCTTCTTTTTCTTGAATATTTAGGATTGTGTTGGACATGCATTTGTAACAAGATCTTTCAAACAACATAATAATGCAATGCCAATTGCCACTGTTATACAAGACTTGATGGTGCCATACAGTTTTCAACTTGTACATTCTACAAACCTCTCACCGTATTTCTTCAAAATCCAACTTACGAATCTGCATCTTTTTTCTATTCTAAAACAAAAATTAGATCTACACTCATCTATCTTAATACACTCGACTCAAATTTGTATTTTGGGCTTATGTCAATTTTTCCAGAATAGTACTGGAAGACGAGAACGATCTATATCCAATTTCTTTTCGTGTTCAGAATCACGCAGGAGGTATTGTGTGAGTTGGGTGCAACATTCACAGTATTTCTTGCGTATTCATCTCGTGGGTAGACTTTTAGGCATTTTCATGTCAATGGGATTGATGGGAATGATTTCTTCAGAGTTGGATGTGATGGAGGAGCAGATCATGCTTCCACACTCAAAGCTTTGAGATGGGGGCGAGAGAGGGAGTGGGTCGTTGCCATGTCACAATGAAACACTTCTATTTCGAATGTCACATAGTGATGTGAGATGGAAACTCGTGAAAAGCTCATCAAACCCAACTCTTCAGCGTACAACTTTCCTCAAGTCGTAACTATCTCTCACCCTCACCTGGGCTGGAGTGAGGATGGACGAAAGACATGAGGACGGCATTGTGATGGAAGGCAATAGAAGTGGCGGCAATGGCATGTAGAGGAGTGGATTTACTGGCGGAAAGTTGCCCTGGGACTTCACCAGGTTCCACCGCCTTGTCTGTGAGGATTCTTCGCTGTAGCTGCTGCAGTCCGTGCTCCTTACAATGATTGCCGAACTCGGCCATTTCGATTCATTAGAATCGTCATGGGTTTTGCCTTTGCTCTAGTTGTTGGTTTCAGTGCGTAGACCCTCTTATTAGTTTAACAACTAGGTAAGCAAGTTGCAATAGTGTTCTTCTAAATTATTTCGTGCCATCAGTTACTCTTTGCCGCGTTGAGGAATGCTTCTTGGAAGCTTTGGGGCTACTCTGTGGTTGTGATGTTGTCTGACGTGCTGTTGATAACCTAATCGTCTGAGCTCTGTTCGCTAACTTTGTTCAGTCTCCCATTTACCCTGCGCGTTTTAAAGTTGAAGGAAACACGAAAACTGTGCATATTGCATCGACAGATATTTTTGAAGTACAATAGTAATTGATTGAGCGGTAAGAATTCCCATCCCAAATTACAGAGATTCATAACAAATCTCCGATCCCAAAGTGAAGGGCAGATAATTGTAGCGAAGCATATACAGTAAAGAAAAGTTACTTGAAATTTGGAGCTCACAAGGTCTAATCTAGTCAACTTATTCCTTTCATCAGGAATATTGCACCACTTCCTGAGACTTGACGCAACAGGTGGTCTTAGATGTCAAAAAGAAGGTTCCAGTAGCGAATTGTAGCTTCTTTATGAGATATTGTCGTCGGAATGCTCGTCATTCTCTTGGCCTTAAGGGTGTTGCACTTTTGCGTAAAAACCCCCGATCAAGTCTGCCAACTTCCTGCATCTATGGACACTATAAGCCTTATGCCATGGATCCTGGCAAGGTTCTCCAGGTCATCAATAGGGACGAGGACAGTTAGAGATTCGTGCCCAGCATCATTATAGCGTAGATGTGGTACAAGGGATCTATTTAGACATTTCGATATGACGTACGGGATGGATCTGATTAAGCAAACACCACAACCAGCATCTCAGGCTCAGTCATTTCGCGTCAGTGGAGGACGACATCTTGAGCGGCAGTAAAGAAGTATTAGCTAGGGAAAGTTAGGCCCGTGTTGAACACAGTCGTCGAAACCAGTGCAGAAGAAAAAGCCCCTGGCCTTCAAATTAACTGCAGATGGTTGGCCTGTTTGCAGCTTTTTCAGATCTCCAGCAGAGCCCATTTTAGAAGATCCGATCTCGAGATCTTTCTCACAGGGCCAAGTTCTCGTATCCTGCTCACATGTTCAAATTGCGAATTTGGATTCGTTCATAACAGTCCTTCGCGAATGGAAGTGCGTGTGGGTTGCGGAGGTGGTCACTGTAATGGTTCAATATAAGAGGAGCATGTAGACTCATCCTTGAAATTTGAGATTCGTAAGCATGCTTTTTGCGAGAGTGAGAACTCTAGAAACTACCTCTCGACTTGTTGCAACTCGGGCCATGCAAAGAAAACCACCAACGCGATCTTGAGCTTTCTAGTAGCCTATCACACCGTCCAAGGCTCTTCGAGTTCTAGCCCTTGGGGCTCTGCGGGTTCAGCGAGGAATGTCAAATGTTGTCAAATACAATGCCAGAGGTCAGCCTGGCGTTGCTTTGTTCTCGGAGAGCAGTGGAGGCCGAGCAAACTTAAAGCAAAGTCAAGGAGAAGAAAGAGGTTTTACAGAATGCCAACAGTGGTCCCCAAGCCTGAGAATGTGTCTGCAAAAATAAATTGCGTTGGGGTCACATCTGACCTTGTTTTTGGTGCCCAAACAGGGAAAACTGGTGTATCAAACTACAGTTCCTGAAGTTTGCTCAGTGCTCTTCTTGTGAAGACCACTGGACCAGCCCTCTTTCTTAATCAATAAGAAGAGTAAATTTTGCTCTTCACTGGACTCAAATTGATCTACACCCTTGGTGTGAAGTGATGAAAGAATGAGCAGAACTTGAAAATTCAGGAGCCCATTTGCGTACGGTGTTCAAGACGTGCAACTGACCTAAAATCTTCAAGTGAGGCCCCAACTGAGAGCATGCAAAGTCGGTGTTTCATTTTGTGCCTTCTGTGTTATCAAATTCAATTCCAGCTCTGATTTCCATGTCATGCTAACAACAATAGGTGTAAAATTCTATAATAAATATATCTGACAAGTTTCCTTATTGTCAAACTTGGTGATTCTTTTTAGATCGGTGCAATTTGCAGTTTCTATTCTCTTGCAATGCCTAAATAACCACACCTTCTTTTTGTTGGATGTGATTAAACCCACTTTATATCAAATACATCAAATAAAACTAACGATTTATTCAAAATCGTCATGAATATTTTTATACAAACTGGGCTATTTAGATAATGCTATTAGATTTCACAGGAAAAGCTGACTGATTTTGAATTTACTCATGGGTTCATCGGTTCAAAAAGGAAAAATACATTTATCATTTCTAAGTTCATCTCTGCAGTATTGATATTCATTTATTTAACTTATGCATCAGTAGCTTTGCCGATAGTTCTGAAGAGCTCAAGGAATGTTGTCATAATAATCTGCAGCCCAGTAAACCATGACGCAGGTCTGACTTTTTGTGTAAAGTTTCATCAAAAGTGGACTGAGTGGATAACGGCAGTCGGGGGCTTCTGTTGCGCTTTCGTCGACTCGACGATGACGGTGGTTCCTCGCCTTCCATCCATGACCCGTCGAATCCAAATGTGGCAAGACCATAGAATCTGATGCTTCAAATAGACACGATCGGATTCTGAAATCATCACCGAAGCACGAAGCGAAGCTGATGCGAAACGATCCACCCAAAAGAAGAGTTTGGTTTTTTCTCAGTGAACTTCACATACGGGCACAGTTACTAGCCCAAGGTTACAAGACACCAACTCGCTAATGAATCACCCGCTTCCATCTCAGCAACAAACACAACAATTAGTAGACCAATTCCCGCGCTGATCGAGAAAGCGAAGGGACCCAACCCAAAGTGGCCGAGAGAGGACCCATCGAGGCAGTAAAAACAGAAACAACAAGACGAGAGCGATCGCGGTGAGTGCGAGTCACAAATCCTCGATAGAAAAGCACTGGCGACGAGAAAAGCGACGAGAGGGAAGCTCAAGAAAACCCTATGTGAGGGGGTTAAGCTCCCCAGTAGACCGCCACGTGAATCTGCGAGGGGATAAGGAGACCCCACGACGAGGAATGGGATGCGGCAGATGCTCTGACACCGCCCCTTGCGGACCGCCACGCGACGTCAACGCCCATTTCCAACGAAGGGTTTCCGTTTCCGAAGTGTTTCAGCTTCAGCTCCGAAGTGGGGCCTTGTCATCCTCAGCCGGTGAAACGTGGAAGGATGGGGTTTAGGACGAAAGGGAAGCGTGGCCAGCGAGGTGCACTGGCATCTGCGAGGAAGTGGTCCTTTTTGTGACGTGGTGGACGCGAGTGGTCGCGGTTTAAGGTGCTCGCGGCTCACGAGAGCGTGACTATCCTTTTGTGCGAAAGGGGAGTGAGTAATGGACCAGTACAGCCCAGCGGCTATAAAATTTTGACTCCCGGGTGCTTTTGGAGTTGTACACCTTTGCGTGGGTCAACCGCTGTGGCTTTGAAGGGAAGCGGCGGCTTTGTGCGTTCCTGCGGTGAGTCCTCTTTGCAAAATTTCACTCCTTTCGTGAAGGGGGTGGGTGGGTGGGTGGATGGATGGGTAGTAAGCTCACTTTTAGCATTGGAGACTCATGGTTTGAGATGGGAATTGCACTCGGTGCGGAGAACGAAAGGAAGGGTTTCACATACAGAAAAGGGCTTGTATGACTTGCAGACAATTGTGACTGTGTAAATTAAAACATGGTTTCGTTAACTTTTGTTGTCTAAGGGTTTCTGCAAAATACCTTGTTTTCGTACGACTCAACCTGCCATCTTGGAAAGCCTGTAGAGATATACAACTAGGTGGTACAGATTATGTACGATCACTTAAAAGTAAAGACTTGAAAGTTGTCATCTCAACGTTAAAGCATCGTGTCCTTTCGAACAAATGAATAACTTGAGATGATTCACAATGGTGCACTAATCTAATAAGACAAATAGAGACATTATTGCAATTTTACTTTATCAACTACAGCAGTAGTTTTATTCTCAGGAGATAATCCCCAGACCTTAAGAATGTTAACTAAAGTTAACCAGGGATTTTTTTGAAGCAAAAGTGAACTAAATCTCACCACCGAACATCTCCAACACAGAATCCAGTTGAAAATCTGCATGCTAAATTGCACACGCTCCAGCAATATCCCCACAACTCAACATATCTACTGTTAACCCTGTTGTAACGATCAACTGGTGTGCAGAGCAACATCAACTGTTTCAGACTATGTCACAGGGACACCAGCAAGGTTTATTTTTCCTTCTTGTTTGGTATTTCTTTTGTAAATGGGTTTGAATGCATAACGTTTGAATGAAAAAATAGGCTTTAATGAACTAATGGGGAAGCAATTACTGATAGCAGCAGCGAATCCACAAAACCGGCTCCGAAAGCCGCCAAAACCCTAGAAACGACAATTCGATCAGCGCCACGGTGATAGGGTGTGGTTGAGCGGGTTGACTCACCGTTCCCGCCGCGTGTCAACGGCGACGGACGCATGACATCAAGGGGTCTTTCCCCGCGCTGCCTGCCATGGTGGCAGTGCAGGAGGGCCACGTCAGGTTATCAAAGCGGAGGAAGGGTGTGTGCCCTGAAAGCGTCGTCAGTCCAGGTCAGCACCCTGCTTGCTCTGTGTCGTAGTGGGGATCAAAGGTTTGTTGCTCTCTTTATCACTTCCAGAAAGGAAACTCCTCTTTAACCTCGTGACTGGGCTCTGTATTTGTATCAATATGACGCGAAGTATAAGTTATCACCACTTGTTTTAGAATGAAGCTTCTCTGTATCAAAAGAAGGAGAAGTAGAAGAAGGGAGAAAGAAAAAGAAACAGCAATAGCAGCAGAGTAATTTGTTGTAGATACCACTTCTCGTTGACATTGTGTGTGGAAAATTTTACTTTTACTTTTTTTTTTTTTTTGAGTATAGTTATTAAATTGCATGTATCAACCAGTATTATGTAGATATATATATATATATATATATATATACGTATACACACACACACACATACTTTTAGCATAGAACTTCCTATCATACTCGGTACTAAATTGAACGTGTGTGCCAAAAAATTAACAGACAAATGCATATATTTTTCAACCATATTCCTTCACCACCCATCAAAATTCCAAATCACGTTCTTTTCTAAAAGACCAAAAATATATAAAAATATAAAATATACAATATAAACACTCCCAAAAGAATACGAATATGCTACTACTGTTCGCTCAGAGAGACTGTCTTCAAAATTTTCAACAAACACTTATGAAAGATGAATATATATATATATATATATATAAGAGTATTATAGCAAGGAGGAAAGAAGGGCTGGCATTTGTGCACAGACACACATTTAAGTATTTTTTTTAATGGACAGAGACTTATTCAAGGATCACATTACCTTATCAACCCATTAAAGCATTTATTGGCACCAAACCCCAGAAAAAGCCATCTTTTTTTTAGTGCGCCAACCCCTAAGCCATAAACTATCAATATTCCCACTTGGGTTCCTTCTTTGTTTCCATTCTTTTATCTTCCGCATTAAAATTAATGGCACGATATATATATATATATATATGCATATATATAAATGTTTTGATGATCATTTCAAACCAGAAGTTAAATTTCCAATGGTCAAATCAAATGACAATAACAACAATAATAATCAATCCAACCCTGTAGGAGCACATCTCATATAATTCCATTTAAGTTTGAGTTTTAAACTTAGACGAGATCTCCACTGGGGTTGCCAAGTAAGCAAAGCGAAGGTTTAAAATAACCAGGGCTTGATTGTGAAGCAAGCAAGCAAACAAATATATCGAATGACTGTGTAGTAGTTCCACTGGAAATAGCGAACTTTACTTATTACTGGAACAGAGTAATTGCCAAGTTCCTCCCTCATGCAATCCTGGCCCATAACTTAGTGGGGTCAGATTTATAGGAGGTTCTTCATTTGGCACATGCCTCTACAGGGATGATGGAATGATGCCCTTTGTTTATCTGTTGTTGTTGTAAAAGAGGACCCCCCCTGGCTTGACTTCCTGTTAATGTACTCACAGAATCTGCAAAGCTTCAACTTGCTTTTGTACTCTAAAGCATAAAATTTCCCCTTTTCACACCACCATTCCTGCTTAGAGGTAATTGTTTACTTCTGTCCTCAGCACTGATCTCCAATGCAGTCAACGATGTTGGGTAAAACTTCAGGTGTTGAAATGGGTGTTTAACAAAGAATGAGAATTAAAGTCTTGTATGGTGTATGTGTATTGTTTGTGAGTTTTGAATACAAGTGCTCAAACCATCAAAGGCAATGGTCTGTAAACACCAATGAATCACATGATATAAAATTATCAATGATTTAAAAATAGGTTTAAATGTTGAAAGAAGTTTTCTATGATACACGAATATGTACATGTGCACATCATTCTGGTTAAGAAAAATGTTGTTTTGATATCAGGTGGATGACTTGTTCATGTATTATAAACCTTTTTCTGTGAATCATATGTGATATGGAATTCACATGCATTACTTTCCTTACAAATTTCATCTTAATATAGAAATATATACTTTTTTCTTTTTCCTTCTTTTAAATAAATAAATAAATATTTATGTGTGTGTTTTTTTCCTCGACTTATTTGCCACCCATTTGACTCTTTGACACCAAATTTGACCTTCATCTTTATTCTTCATTTGACAATCCACTTCCAATTATGTTTTCTCAAAATGAATTTTCATGCTTAAGTTGGTTGTAGCTGATCTAGAGTATTTTTAATTTTGAAATTCCTGTGCAATTCGGAGTAAATTTCGCAAACGTCATCTTCTCCGCAGTGTCACCTATGCACAAAGATCAGTCCAGTTGACAGTCCAAAAAAGAAAAAAATAGGATGGAGAAGGAAAAGTATGAGAGAAAAAAAAGAAAAAGAAAAAGAAAAAGGATGCCTACATGAAAAAGTGGAGGCAAAGTGGTGATGAGCCCAGCGGCACTAAAAATAAACAAGAAATCCACTAAGAAACAGGGAACTGAGGGGGGGGAGCATCTTTTGTTTGAGCCCAAGCAGATTAGTTTGTGTTCAATGTTTCCATCACTTACATAATCATAAAGCCAAGATTACGAGTAGATGTGGACTGAATACATGTGTATATTCATTTATATATAAATATATATATATATATCCACACGCGAGGATATTTTAGGGTACAGGGTCCAGTGCTGCGTTGGCAGCGTGAGCCGACGTGGCAGGCTCAGCATTGCGACAGTCCCATACGACCTGCCTCGTGCGACCGACCGACCGAGCGGGGGGGGGGGGTACTGTTCCGTTGTGACAGGGATCAGTCAGGCCGTCCCGGCACGACACTTCCTCTTCAAAGCTGCCCCACCCTGTTGTTGCCGTCTGTTCGTGTGGTGCTTGCCAAGTTGCGCTCCGGGATTGTTCGCCATCGCTTAATTCTCAGGACGCATTCGAACCTTCACGGTGCCCGTATTTCGCCAGGTGTGTGTTTCGGAAGTCGAACCTTGGCCAATTGGTGCTCAGGCTTGGAAGGGAATATCGAAGGGTGGAATCTTTGTGCGTGTCGAATAGTCGCGGGAAGAGCGATCGAGGAGGAGGAGGAGGAAGAGGTTGGAGCGGAATTGGAAGGCGTAGGGGCGTGGCTCTTAAGACGGGGAATTCGGTGAGGGTTTGGAGTTCACGACGGCCAGAAGTGTCGTCGTGGTTTTTGGTTAGTAGCGAGAAGAGACACGACCGTGGTTGTTTCGTTGTTTTTTCGGCTGTGTTGTTGAAGGAGGGTATATTTTGTGGTTAGGTATCGTGTTGAAGGGACTAGTTGTGTTTTTCCGACGCTCGTGGAGTTTTTGGAAGTGAGAAGGAGGTACTTGAGGTATTCTTGTGTGGCGCGCCTGTCGGGACTGTCTTCGGACCGTTACTCGCGTACGGGACGGGAAGGAAGATCGCGTTCCTAAGTCACAGACAACGAAAATTGTGGCTTCTTAGTAACTCAGAACACCAAGGCTCCAAAACTCGAAGGAGTTGGGGTTAATTGTGTTGCTTGTACGGACCATCGACTTTGTCCTCTATTCTGCCTGTTCAACCAGTTTTTGCTCCCTCGACGACGTCTCTTTGTTGCAAGTTTACGTCTGCGGAGCGGTAACTTTGGTAAGTCACTCGACATGCCGAATTTTTGTAATTTGTCACAGTTTCCGTATCCGTTTTTGAAACACCTTGGTCTTGCATGTAGAATTAGTGAGGCACTCGTGTTTTACTGTCTCGTGGGCGGCCATACTTTGATGCTGTTTTCCTCCTATTGTTCAAAGTCTTGCAATGGAGAGGTTGGTGACGGTTTGTCCCTCGTACGACATATTCGTGCTTTTCCTTATGACTCTGTATACCGTGTTTTTCCTGTGTTTTAGGCTTGTTAGCCTAGTATGTTGATGAACTATGGTCAGTGCGACAGGACTCATGCTTTGCGTTTTCGTTGTCATATATGCTTTTTACTTTATTGTTTGCGATTTCCCAGGCCACCGTGTTCTGTCTGTCTAGCCTGACTAAGAACACGTGAATTTAGTGTAAGATGCCAGTTGCGTTTCATGTGAGCGTATATTTGGGAGTTTACGAATTGTCAATTTAGGCTTAAGTGGCCAGGCCTGCTTTTTACCTTTATCGCGCTGCTGAATTCAGTGGTGCCCCGCATGGATACCACTGACAGGGAGCAAAACTAATTAATACTCTAGTGCTTGTCTTACTCTGGTTCAGACGATGCATTTAAGTTTACGATTTAGATTTGCGTGTGCTTTTTCATTTAGCAGTCGCTCAACATCTGGTGCCTTTGGTGACGGGTGTTTGCGCAAGTGTTAGTTCACATCTCTGGTTTTTTTTTGTCTTGTTGATTTTCTTAAAACTTTACATATTTATTATTGTGGTCTTGTTTGATGTTGACGATGGAAGGTGTATACTGTCGTAATATTGTTGTTCGAGCAACATTTCGCTTTCAGATAACCTCGTTGTTAACGCCCAATTTAACTAGATTCGGTTGTGGTGCTTAGATTTGAGTGCTGTGTTATAGGAAATATCTGCAATTTTCTATACGTTGAATCGTCGAATTCTTTTTTGAAAGTTGGGCTTCGGATAGTTTCAGTACCGTCGAAGCTGTATTATTTGTAGAGTATTTTAAACCTGTATGAGGCTTTTCACTGTAGGTAATAAGGCTTCGATAGGAAAGAACGATAGGCTTGGATTGGTTGGCTTCTCTTAATTTGCACACCCAGCATTTTTTCTTTTTCTTTTTCTTCTTGCTTTCTTTTTTTTCTTAAGTTAAAAAAGATAGCAAGAAAGAAACGAAAAGAAAAGAAAAAATGAAGGTTCTGCGGGTATGCTTGGAATAGCGCTGTTATATTCTTTGTGTGAAGGCTGTGATTGCTCGTTTACTCGAGGTTTGTTTGTTTGTTTCTCATCGAAACATACGCTGGCAGTGATTGAACAGGCACTTCAAAAAATGGGCCCCAAAGGATACGCAATTAAGAGCAATGGCAATGCCACCAAGGAGCTTTCATGGATGGACCGGATGTGCCATAAAATTGAGACTTACTGCGACTTAGGAGAGCCTGGGCGAGGACCGTCAATCATTCAGGTATACTATATTTGTGTTTTTCATTCGCACAGTTTTCATTATGAATTTTGGTACGCTTGCAAGTCATTGCCATGCTTTTTGATAGGTAATTAGGGCTAGGAACATTGTATGGCTAGTTAGGGCTGCCTTACTATCCGTTTGCGATGTGGACTTTTGTATTTCTCATTCCTTTCCGGGTTTTATCATACCAGGTGAAAGAGTATGACCCCCTAGTTATCTAATTTCACTTTTGATTTTTTTATTCACTTAGTCGGATTTTGATCCGTTATGAACAGGAGATTGAAGAACAATTCAACACTTTTGGCGCTGGCTTACGGAAGTTCGCTAATGAAGCCAACGATTTCGTGCAAGTGCTTCTGAATGTTCCCTTGACTCCCAACGAGGGAATCGGGGAGAAAATGGTGGATTTGCCAAAACAACGTGATCTGAAAGCAGTGCAGGGTGAGGAGCAGGTTGCCAAGCAGCCAGTTAATCAACTAGGAGCTGCTCCCATGAACTTTTTTGATGAAGCTTGTATGAAGATGACCAAGAAAGGTAAATATATGGTGGCCTTTTAAAGGTCTCTGCGTCTGTTATCTTGGAAGATAGTTAGCCAAATGTTCGGAAGGTGCCTTTTGCAGATGCTTTAGTTTTAATGTATCTAATCTAATGAAAAGACTAGCCGGGAAAAGGTTGTAGAAGGTATGCGTGTTCAGTATTTATCCTCTGAGCATCTCTGCTGAGTTGACCCAATTAGTTGAGTGAACGTAGAATATTCTTTATTACCAAATGGGTTTCTTGCAGTTGGAGTTACATTTCAAGTAGCTGGGTGCTTGCAGGTGAGTTGAAGGATGTTCGTGACACAAACTACAATAACTGCAGAGCTTTGAATGTTCTCCCTGTGGAGGACGGAGACAAGTTTCCTTTTGCTGAAGTTGCATGGGATTGGCCGCAGCAACCTTACAACCAGTCGGTTGAAGCTTATATAGAGCCACAAAGATACCATGAAGTGGGACAGGCCAGCTGTGGATCACTGGATTTATCTGATTCTGAAATGGACGCGTTTGTGAAGGTCATTTTCTGACATTCTGTGGGATACCTGTAGTCTATTGCAGCTTACTGTTTGATGCATAAGCATCAGGGTTCATGAATCTGCTTTGGTTATCAATAGCGAATGTCATTAGCACAATTATTTCCGACGATTGCTCATAGTTGCGAGTATGATTCTTGGGGTCCGGTGATGTAAACTCCCTTGCATATGAATTTGGTCAGCTGATGTGGTGCGCATCATAAGAAATTACTACATACTAAATGGACATGATGATTTTTCAACAAGAGTCTCATGGTGTTTGGTCTTATTTCTGCAGGAGGATGCAGTAGCGGACGTTGGTGAGGATGTGAAGAATTCAAATGAGATGGAGAGAGAAAACCAATCCGCAATGACCTGCTTACCAATAGATGATGCAAGGAATTCTCAGAGAGATGCAACATCTGATTCAACTCTTCTTGATGGCTGGGAGGGGGATGATATTGTTATCAACGAGGACGAGGACGAGAACGAGGAGGAGGACGACGATTGGGAAATTGTGTGAGAAAATGCTTTTTAAGTCTATACTCGAGAGGATTCAGTGATCTGCAAGGTTAAGTGGCTCAGTTTCCCAGCTCTTAATCTCTTGCAATAAATAGATATCAGAGTCCGGTACCTCTTGGTTTGTTATGTGCATATTCCCCACTCTCAACCTTTTCTCAACCCACACTGAACTATGGAGAGGACGTACGTTCGTAAGAGTAGAGCATTCGTCTGCCTGACGCAGCCTCAGCCCAGTATCCAAAACAAAAGTAAATATTCATACCCCCAGGTGAACAGGAATATCTGGACGCCTTGTCTAAATAATTGATCATACATAAAAGGGATTTGGGCTCCTCCACAGCTTTGCTCATTTTTGACTATGAAATATTCGTACGTTTTTTGACTCGTACCGAATTTATTATTCGTTGTGACCAAGCTTCGATCATTGTGTCAAAGATTTTGCTCAGAGGTGGACTCAGATGTTCTACATCATTAATCTTGTCTGTGTTTTTGCTTTTCACCTTATCGGAGATCGGATTTGCTCCACATGGTGTGAAGAATTACTTGAATTTGTAGGGTGAATTAGCGTTGTAGTTGTCGAGCTATCCCTCTGAGAAATGTTCTACACGGATATCCAAGTTAACTATTATGGGAAATGGCAATATCACCAGGGCGTAAAATTGCATTGAACTACGGATGATTTCTTGGAGTTATTGGTTGAAGAGTTTCAGACAAACCTGGAGGAGTTGGTTTTGTACAGCTGTTTTAGGACATTTCTATGTAGTTTGCCTTACTGAAGTCGACACATTTCTCTGCAGCTAGTAATGTTGGTCTTATTGGTTATCAGTCCTGCAACTTCCCAGTGACTATCCAGGTTTCGTAAAGTGTTGTGTTATAACGAATTTCCTTTGAGTCATGGTTTCTTCAAGAGTTGGGGCATCTAACTGGTTATATCTAGATTTTCATTTGTCTAATATAGAGCTTCACATTTTCTGGTTGAATTCTCGCTTTTCGCAACACTAACAGCTTTCATTGAATTGTGGCAAAAGTCCAATGGTTCTCTTTCATCGGGGTATCAGTGTAGAGATTGTGGGTTTTTGTACTGTCCATTGACAACTTCCTGGTTGTGTTCTATTCCCAGACTGTTCTTGGAAGATCCATAGTGAAAGTACATGTAATAGAATCCAAATCATTTCAAGTCTCTTGTATGAATGTAGTGTGTAGAAGGTAACATTACAGTTTTAACGAAGTACCTGCTTGAATACACTGTTTGACTAATGTATTGAATGTTTGCATTGAAAGCAATTGAAGATGTATTTGACGAAGGATCATTAGATTAAGAATTATAAGCTTAAAATACAAAAGATTGAGATAGTTGTTACAGTAAAAATTTGTATATTTGCAATATTAGACAGTTTATGCATTAATGATTGTAATTTTGTTAGAACAAGATATATAAATTATAATCATATTACAAAATAAATTTGCAACAATTTAAAATAAAATTATTATTTAGCTTGGTATTCTAAATTGTTAAACTGATGTAGTTGTTTACTAAATCAGCCCACCCATCTCAACTATCATCAAAAAATTCTCTATTGCTGGATCCATATTGATTAAAAACTAATAAAAAAAAATTGTTGGATTTGCAACCAATGATGATGCGTGGGTTGATTTAATAAATGTATGGGTTAATTTAATAATTCCTTCAATTTTTAGGTAAATTGAGTATCTAATGACTAAAAATATTTGTGACTATAAATTAAATAAATTATGAATTGCTAACAAAATTTAATCACAATGCAACAATATATTTTATGAATCTTATACGTTTAATAAGCTTTGTATTATATTAATTTGATTACGAATATTTATTAGTTTAATTAAAATCTAGTATATATGAATATATATATATATATATATATATATATATATATAGTTTAATTCAACAAATCTAAAAAAAGATTTATCGTAAATAAACAGAAATCTTAAAAAATGAAATAAAGTAAAATCTTATTTATTTATTTATTTTATGGTTTTGTCTTTTTAATTTTTTTTTGAATATATAATTGTAAATGTTATTATTTCTTAAATTCACAACAATGCAAGAAAAAATCCAACTATGTACATTTTGAGTATACATGTAGACTATTATTTGAAATATATATATATATATATATATATATATATATATATAATATGTAATTCTACTTGGGCTCTGTAAAATATTTTTCTATCTTAATATATAATCTTGCATTTCTAAGTTTTTATAATGTATAAAAAATATTTTTTATAATATATATTTGTTTTACTTAGAACAAATAAGAATATTACTTTAGCAACAAACTACATAAAAAATCGCAAAATATATTAATTATTGAATGTCAAAGAAATAGTAAAAAAATTATGAGAAAAAAATGCATAATATTATAGTTAAATATATGTACTTAATTTAAAATATCATCTTTATTTTTTTTTATTATAATTGTTACTTTTTATTATAAACAAGATTGTATACTCCTATCAAATCTATCTCAATAAAAATCTTATCTCAATTTAATTAGACAAAAGGTCTAGATATCAATACTAAAATATAATAGTTTTTGATCATGATTTTTTAAAATATATAATCATCTACACATATAAACAAAGATATATTTTTTTACCTTAAGAAGAAAGATTAATATATTTGGTAGGTGATTTATATGATGATTAGATTTCTTACCAATCTATTCTTAAAAACGACTAATTTTTTAAGTAATAGATTTATTTATTTATTTATTTAACCAATTTTACTACTATAAAGACATTATTTAAACAAAAAATTTTAAATATTTTCTAAAAAATCAACTTGAAAATTTTAAAATTTTTCTGAAATGATATGAAAAGCTTTATTTGAATAAAAGCTAAATGTCACATAATGAAAAATACATATTTTTTTCTAACTTACATGAAAGCTCCTTTTTTAACTTGTATTTTTTTAGAAATATTATATATATATATATATATATATATATATATATATATATACTTTAAAATATATTTTAAAATTCTAAAATACTATAAAATATTTAATTCAATTAAAAACTATATTTTTTTGTATCCATAATAAATTTAAAATAATATAATTAGTTGGATACTTAATAATATTATCTACTATTATATATATATATATATATATATATATATATATATATATCTTGTTCAATTTATAATCTTTTTTGGTAGAAATTTTATAGACTAAACAAGGTTTTATAATTTAAGTGGACTTCAAAACAAACAACATTGACATACCAATAAATAACTATTTGTAAAGTTTTGCAATTCTAGATCCACAAGGAGTTGTTTGCAATATTACTACAAATCTAATCATCCTTTAAATATTAATTTGGTATAAATTTTCTCCCCTACTGCATGCAAACATCCTCCCTATCTCATAAATTATAGAAAATCACCTTAATATAAATGCTATATCACAGCAATGCGATATAATACAACTTGATTGCACTACATTTGTTATCCCTCATATCAATTTTTGGTCTTTCTTGAATCCACAAAAGCAATGTATTTTCCTTATTTCTTTAGTTTGTGATTCAAACCTTGCAAATGATAATTGATTTAGGAAACTTTAATTTCTCAAGGTTAACACAAACATCATGTCTATTAACTGCAAAAGTCCTTTAGGTACATACTTATGCTCCACTACACTTGTCTATAGCTTCATTCCAATACAAGAATAGAGTGGAAAAGACAAGAAGCTATAAAACTTTGATGAGGAAGTTAATGCAATAGTGTGTGATTCTTGTTGGTAATTAATACCTATAAACTAAGATCACAAAGTTGGCTAGTACTTCTTAAACTCAACAAAATATTCTAAAATGTGATAAAGCTATACAATAGCTCTTTGGTTTCAAATCTCACTATTAACTTTTATCTCTATATCTATCTCATTTTCTTTCTCTTCCTAACCATGGGAGAATTTGAATTATAAAATTTCATCTTATTTGTTTATTTTAATAATTTTAAAAGAAGCAAGATTACCAATTTACAATTTAGGAACAACCTTTGTTCTAGCAAATATTATTAGAAAAGCAAGGAATATTAGTTAAAGAATATAAATTAAATAAAGTACACACATGTGCATATATATTTGACTATGTATAACTATTTTATTACTAAGATTTTATAGATGTTATCTTTAAAATATATGGTTTGGCTATATGTAAGTTTTACATATATCAATTTAAATTTTTGTATAAAATTTAATAAATATTTCTAAAATATAATAAAAAAATTTCTATTATAGTTTCTATTATAATTGATAAAATTTTAATAGATTTTGGAACTATATCGCTAAATTTTATTTTAAAAATAAAAATAAAAAAGAATTTAGACAATAATATATAATCTTTATGAGATGATGTTGTATAAAAATTTAGCCATATAGTTCCTATAATAGTTGATAAAACAAAATATCTTCTTTTATTGCTTCATTTAATATTTGAAGATAAAAATAAATTTTATTTTATTTTATTTGATCATGTTGCAAATTAGATTTAAAAAAAACTCGAGTAGCATTATCTTATTTCTTATTATTTTTGGTTACTAAGTTTTTAAAATATGTTAAAATTTAAATTATTTTTATTTTCAAAAGATTTAATTTTATTAAATTACATCATGATTTTTTATAAATATATTAAAATTATTCTAAAAATTTATCATTTTTTATTTTATTTGAATATTAGAATTATTTTTTTAAGAATTATACCAAAAAATATAGTCTACTAAGTACCATTCTAATAAGTGTAACTTGAGATTTTGAAGTTGGATATACATGTAGTTTGAGTATAATAGCAAGTTTTGATTGATAGAAAAATTTCTAAAATTTAAATTTGGTACCATTATATATCTTTAGAAGATTAATTTTTTATTCTTTAATAGATAATACTATGTATTTATGATGGTTTTTAATAGGTCTACTTAAAATAAAATAGTTCTTAAGAAACCTTCTTTAATTTTTGCATTATCATAGATAGGTACCTTGAATATTATACTAGAAAACAAAGTTGGTGCATTGCAAGCATTACTTTTTTATTTCTTTTTATAATTTTATTTATACATATATTTTTTATTATTTTTTTTGCATAATTTTTCATAATTAATCAATAAATATAACAATAAATAATTCTATAAGAAAATAACAAAAAAAATTAATACTTTTATCATATGTATATATATATATGTATATATATATTAAAAAATATAAAACTATAAAAAAATATTATATATATATATATATATATATATATATATATATATTAAAAAGATGTATATAAATAAGAACAAAAAGATAATAGAATGATTATTCCGAAGTACATAAAAACAAAAGATATTGAACAAAAATCAAAGTACAATA